AGAGAGTCTGTCGAGGGGAAAATGAGAAACAAGAGACCAAAAAATGCAGATGAGCTGAAGGCCACTGTCAAAGAAACCTGGGCTTCCATACCACCTCAGCAGTGCCACAAACTGATCACCTCCATGCCACGCCGAATTGAGGCAGTAATTAAAGCAAAAGGAGCCCCTACCAAGTATTGAGTACAGTAAATTAACATACTTTCCAGAAGGCCAACAATTCACTAAAAACGTTTTTTTATTGGTCTTATGAAGTATTCTAATTTGTTGAGATAGTGAATTGGTGGGTTTTTGTTAAATGTGAGCCAAAATCATCACAATTAAAAGAACCAAAGACTTAAACTACTTCAGTCTGTGTGCATTGAATTTATTTAATACACAAGTTTCACAATTTGAGTTGAATTACTGAAATAAATAAACTTTTCCACGACATTCTAATTTATTGAGATGCACCTGTATATATACAGTATATACAGTACATATATAAATGAATGAATGAATGAATAGCAGAGAAGGGTCTGTTTCCTGAAATCCAGGTCACTGGTATTTGACAACAAATAATACCTTGCATATTGTGTGTTAATATATATATATATATTAAATCCATTCTATCTAACTTTTTTATATATATTTATTACTATTATCTTCATTGTAGTCACTCATTTTGGTACACATTGCTGGTGTAATGATGGTCACAGTCACAGAGATGCAGCTTCAGTTTAACCCAGCTGAGTGCTCGCTCACAGATCATTTCTAGTCATTTGAAGTTCACATTGATTGGGACGTGCCTGAAAGTGGTGTTGACCAAATGAGTGAGTTGTTTACTCTGTAATTAGTCAAACCTGTTCCATCAGTTTGACCCATTGATGTGGATTTGTGCACTGAAGTTGTAATCAACCAATCACAGTAATGTTTGGCAGTATTTTACCGTTCCCTCCTCTCATTGGCATCACGCTCTAGGAGCTCAGTGAGAGCACATCGAGCTCAAGGGAGGTCTCCCGCTGAAGCTTAATCCGCGGATGTCGCTGTTGGAGAGTGCTACTTTAGAAAAACCATTGGTATAGAAGTCATTTGATGTCATATTTTCATTTAAATTGTGTTATTTTTTTGCAGAAAGGTCAACAGTTAAACACAAACAGCACACGTATATTTTTAACCTTAAGGCTTGTTAGCCTGAATCTCACCTTTATTGGCATGCTGTGTTCAATGGACCTCATTCATGAAACACGTGCAGGACAAATTTCTGTGTAAATCATTCGGAAAAACGTCTCGGTTATGTATGGTAACCCTCGTTCCCTGAAGGAGGGAACGGAGACGTCACGTCGGATGACCGACGAAATTGGGATCTCGCTTAGAGAGACCAATCTACTTCGAGTGTAAACTAAACGAGCCAATGCACATTGGCATGCGATTATTGCATCCAGCTGCCGCTACTTATACGCTGTGAGTATAAGTAGGCGGCAGATGCAGCGCATATTCAGGTTTTCGCTGAGGAGCCGAGCCGGTGACCCGGCTGCTCAGTGGTGGTACAGGAGCTGTGGCGACGGGGCGTGACGTCTCCGTTCCCTCCTTCAGGGAATGAGGGTTACCATACATAACCGAGACGTTCCCTTTCAGTCGGTCACTCTCGACGTCACATCTGATGACCGACAAAATAGGGATCCTACCAAAAGGCCACAGCTACTGCCCCTTCCAGTGTCCTGTGGAAGCCACCTGCGCCCCTAGTTTTTGGCGTAGGCCAGGGCTTGCACAAGAGGACCAGCTACTGCTGCTATGGCACTAACCTATGAGTAAGACTGGATAACACTGGGAAACGTACCCGTTCTACTTGGAACAGGGACGT